CTGCTCAAACAAATCACCGGAACTTCCGCAGGACAAGCCAAAATTGCAGAAGTTCCGCAGGATTTTGTTCACTATTGTAAAAATGAAAACGTTGAAAACCGTAACTTCCGCGGAATTTTCATGCCAAACTGGCTGAAAACCGGAACTTCCGCAAAACCTTCTTCAAAATCCTGCGAAATTTCCGAAAAATACCAGAGGTTCCGCAGCATTTTGGAGTGCCAGAACTTCCGCAGGACTTTGAATGTGTTCTCTCGTGATGTTGCCTCGCCAACAACTAGGGTGCATTATCGAACATGTCAGCCGTAGCGCATAGGATAGTGGGTGGGTCTCACAGTCAAAAGAGTGAAGTTCAAATCACGCTCCGGTGTTCTCCTTTGCTAGGTTGGCATTCTTCGGAACTACCGCAGGACTTTATTTTGGAACTTCCGCAGCACGCTTACGGAACTACCGCAGGTGATCCGGTGGAACTTCCGCAAGCGCTCTGCGAAAGTTCCGGTCATTTGTCTGAGTTATTCTTTCTGTTTCTTTCGACATCCTCTTCGACCAATCTCAAAGGGATGCCTTGCTCAGGTAATGAACGTCAAGTTTATGTCTTTTATACACCAAACAAAAACAAAACTTGTTTAAACAAAAAAAATTGCTTAAAGCGTATCTCGGTTATATGCTTGACAGAGTCAAAGCACATCTATTATCGAGCCAATCTTCTTTGCTTCCCTAACATAGCTATAATTTCGTAAAAGCGACATATCCATATCACGACGGACGATTCGTCCGTCGTGACCGTCTCCTTCCAATACGGACATCTGATGACGAAGCGGTGGTTCCCTGGCCTCTGACGAAGACGAAAGCGTTGAAACATGAAGCCGTTGATATTGACTAATAAAGGACCACCTATCAACCTGTACTGCACAAAAAGAACACACAATAAAGAGAAGCAAATGAAATAAGAATAAGAGAAGAGAATAAGAGATGCAGACACACGCTAATGGTGAACATCAATATCCTATTAATCTTGAATCGTCAAACATTTCGGAGGCTTTTCGCTTACAAGAGGACTCTTGTTCAATCTATTTCTAAAATTGCGATTTGTTTGACTGAGAAGGTAGACTCTAGCTAAAAGGACTTATTCCAGATATGTCGTTTTACGAAATTATAGCTATGTTATATACGGGAAGCAAAGAAGATTGGTTCGACAATAGATGTGCTTTGACTCTGTCAAGCATATAATCGAAATACTGCTTTCAACAAATTTTGTTTTTTCTTTGAACAGGTTTTGTTTTTGCCTGGTGTTTAAAAGACATAAACTTGACGTTCATTACCACAGCAAGGCAACAGCAATCCAGCATCCTCTTGAGAATGGTCGAAGAGGATGTCGAAAGAAACAGAAAGAATAATCTTGAAAGAAAAAAAACAGAGGCCAACAAGGGCACTCACCATCAATGAGTTTGCATTCAAGAATGAGACTGTATTGGCAATCATTTCGCCACTCAACAAAAATAAAAGCGGTAACACGAGTAATACTAGTAACACTAGTAACACGAGTACACTAGTAACACGAGCAACACTGGTAACACCGGTAAACTCTGACGGATCCAGTATCGCCCGTCCGGTAATGTTCCCATTCAGACAGTATCCTCTTCATAGCTCGGTGCTCTGGAAATCTGTGATGGGATGTTCTTCCTTGTTTGTCCATCTTTTGATTCTTTCATCCATTTTCTCATCCCTATTATCCTAATAATGTAGCATAATGAACAACAGCACTTCGCTGCAATAGCTGAGATTTTTGACATTTTGTTTAAACCCGAACGGTATTCTTAAGGGATCACGGCTCATTTCCAGAGCCATTTCTCTTCGCAAAATCTCAAGGAAAACGTCGTAAAGCTGTGCAGAAGACTTATCACGACAAAGTAGGGCTAAGTTTGTTTCCAGTAGTACAGATGAAACGTGGAAATTTTGAGTTTTCGATTAACATCAACTCGCAAGCAGAAGTTCATCGAAGATTCCATCAACTTGAGTTTTTACGTATTACATCTAAGGCTCCCGCCAGAGTGCCGAAGTTATGCCAGCGCTACGCCAGCATTTCGATCGATACACGTGTATTTCGTTGGGGACGTCAGCTAGCCCCGCCCCAACGAAATACACGTGTATCGATCGAAATGCTGGCGTAGCGCTGGCATAACTTCGGCACTCTGGCGGGAGCCTAAAAAATGCTCAGCACTGTCATAATAGACCAACAGCATAACTTCACGATTTTTTCTATTGAATTTTTGCCCAGGTAAAGGACTTTAAAATTGAGTCGGATTTCTTGATGATCCCATTCGGCATCATGCAAAACACCGCAAATTTCAGCTTATGCAGCAAATTGTTGCTATTCATTATGCTGTGTATTAGGGTGGTAGGGACTCCAAAAGATGGACAAATAAGGAGGAACACAAATCCCCAGGGCACCGAGCTATAAAGCAAAATCATTTAAATGGGAATCCTCACCTGAACGGGCGTTTGATACATACGCCCCGGAAGTGACGGCTGGTAGGTGAGGCTCTGTATGTATCTTCCTCGCGAGCGTGCTCTTTAATCATTCCTCAGACTTAATTAGTTCAAAGCTATGCTGGCCGAAAGGCGTGTCTTGAACAAACATCTGCATCAGAAAAAGCAGCCATATATCCTACAGATATTGCATATTTGTATCAGTTGTCCGCGGGGAGTGGAGCCTATCGGCGACATGTAATCTTATCCTCCTTTTCTAAACTCTATTATAACGTGAGAGTTCTGAGAAGCGCATGAAAACGAAAGAAAAACAACTGGAAGACAGCGTTACAAGCCCTCTCCAAAGCATTCATAGCGACATTTACATGTTGTTACTTTAAGTGTTATAGACATCCTTCGCTAGACGACTTTCACTCATACAGCATTTCATGTCCATTACACTTTTTTGAACGGATTACCTCGCATTTCTATCTAGAGGTCCTATCGTCTCCCTCGCTCATTTCTCACCTTCTTCCTTGAAAGACTGCTGAGAAACAGCAAGCTCAGAGTCAAGACGACAAGTTGATTCTCAAGAAGCAGAGGAGCAAACGATGAAGAAAAAGAGCAATTGTCGCCCCACTCTCTAATGGCGCAAAATCCTGTACGGTACGTGAGCGTCCAAAATGTTTTCTTTCTAACCCTACCGACACACGGATCTCAATTATAAGTAATGAATAACTAGTTCAATTAACGAAAGAAATTGCAATTGACAGAATTTATATGCTCAGAATAGTAAAATTGTATGGAGTCCAATAACCTATGCAAAAAATGTTCTTATTGGTGCATAGTCGAAATGGTGCAGAAACTGAATTTCTTTTAATTACTTACTGCGCTACTGAGCCTACTGCGCTTTTTATTTTGATTCTTGCTAGCTGAACAGCTGCTAAAGCTCCGCCTGAAAGACATTACCTGATTCGAATGTACAACTCGTTCACTCTTATATCTCTCTGCCTCACCTGTGAGTTTGAACGCTGCAGCTTTTAGTTTAACTTTGTTTTGTACAAAAAAAAGTCGAAAGAAGAATACAGTGAAATGATCTGTTAGAATAAAAGTCAGGATTAGATATTATGCAATTTAAAATTGTTTTTTATTCAATCTGATACAACTCTAATGATGACTTTTCTTACGTTGCTCGCGGTTCTACTCAGGATAGAGCGATTTCGGACCGTACAGAACTAGATGACCCGAATTATCTTTTTCTGTTCTTTTGAAGATTGTGAGATGCCTTGACGTTGATGAGAAACCATCCGAGTTGCAATTTGAAACTATAATGCATGATCGTAGTATATTATCAAGATTTTCGTACTTGTTTCTAGCTGAACAGCTGCTAGCGCTTCCGTGAATGTAAATGGTTATCTGACTCAACAGCCTTGCTCTATCAAACGGTACCCCATTCACTGTTCTTCGTGTCCACCCCGCAGGATAATGTAACGCTATTTTTCGGGCCCAACATTTCAAAATTTTGGCTTCAAACTTGTCTAAATCACGAGTTCTGTGGAGAACGGTGATAGTGTAGAGTTTCATTTGCTCTATCGAGTAGTTCCCTAATCGATTTTTTAATGGTCACTATGTCGCGGTAGCACGAAAAGCGCCACATCATGACATGCATTCCTGAACCAAAACTTGAACCGACTAAACCGTGCAGAATTTGTTCATGAAGCAAGTGAGCATGTCTGAGATAACAGGTACATGCATCGCATGTCTCATGCATCACATGCTTTACTATGTATTTCCTTTTCCTAGTCAACAACGGAACCCAGCCTGACTCCAGAACTTTTGTGTAGGCACTGTCTCGTTAGGTTGGCAATCAAATTCTCCTATTGACCGTTGCGTTAAAATTGTTGAAGCAAGTTGAAACTTGCTTGAAATTTACGTGAAGCCTACTGGATGATAGCATTTATCAGTCATCTAGCGCTGCTAAGTTTGCCAAGCGTTATCGTCGTCCGAGTGGGATCTGGATAACCGTTCAGCGGGATTAACAAAGAGTATTATTGCGCGCCTCGAAATAACCTACCTACTTGCCCTATCCTATGGCTCATAAATCGCAAACCTCCCACCACAGGACCGACATTGGAAATCCCTGCGATCACATCACCTTTCACTTGTATCACCTGTATCCCCAGTGATCGTCGCTTGACATGAGCAGGAACCAGTGGCGTTTCCATTCATCCCTGTTGCGGGCGATTGTTGACCAATATCGCACTAAGAGCACAAGAAATGCTTCAAAGGACTTCAGTAAAAAACTTCTTAAACCCGTCCTACCATCAAGTCGGCGGCCTTCTTGTTCCGCGTTTGACATTTTCCACATGTCTCCCATTACCGCTCTGGTCCAAGATTTGTCAGCCCATCCGTTTTCTGTTTGGCGTATGCGATAATGTACGTAATTTTCGATCCTTGAAGTAGAGTGCAATTTCGTATTCCTCCCTCATTTGTGCGAATCGGGACAGATATCATTCTCTCACATTGCGTTCGATGACGCTTACCGCATGTTCACCCTGCTTTTCTCATAGTCTTCGTTTCCAAAGCGTACGTCAAAGCAGAAAGAGTTGTCGTTTTGGAGAGCGCGCGGAGCCTGGTGTTCTTGATCTTCTTTACTGCGTCCTTGATTGAATTGCGCTTGCGAATTGCTAGACCGTTCGTTTATCATGTGGACTTCCACAGCTAACGCTAGAGCACTCGGTGTTTTGTCAGTTTCAGCCTTTGGCGATCTTCCCACACTCGTCGTCAACTGGGCAGCATTCGTTCCGCTTGTGTGATATTCGGTGTAATCAAAACCATGCCACCAGCAAAGCGAAGATGGTGTAGTTTCCGGCCGTCGACTCATTTCCATGTAGTCCAATTCTGGTACACGTATGTTGTTTTCAGGAACAGTGCTGAGATGTTTCGGCGGTATGGTATCGCCTTGTCTAATCCTCTCCTCGCATCGATGATAATATCCTTGTAGAACGGTGTTATGTTCGTTGTAAAGTCGTTGTACAGCTCACAAATCATCTTGATGTACATAGTGGAATACATTGACTGCTCAAGCATCGGTGACGGCTTGAATCTATGTACCTGACCAAATATTTTCTTCAAACCGATAAATGTGAGACAGAGCGGTAATCTGTACTTTCGCGATACTTCGCTGAGCCGCCTTCTACCATGCGTATGATGTGGTCCATTCTCCTAAAACTGAGACAATAAGCAGATAAGACGGCAACTTCCGATGTGGCGGAGTCCTTTTTCTACAGCAACACGGTCTTGCTGTGCCTTCATTGACTTAAAAGCTTGATTCCCATTAGATACCGCGTAGCTTTGCCAGAGTTCTGATAAAGATTCTGTCGGGCCCGGTTGCTGTGCAGCTTTTCATTGACTGACAGCATGTCGAAAGTCGAAGAAAAAACTGATGATGAAACATTTTTTCATCCTCAAGATAGCATAATAGCAGATAGAAGTGGACATGCACACAGATCCGTAAAAAGCGTGGATGACTTCATCGACCTTCGATAAGAGTTGTAATTCCATCAAAATGGCTGAGTGCGGTCATTTTGGTCTTGAAAACCATGTTTCGGGGGACGTTACGTATAATTCTTCAGCCTCTATGGCATCAACCATTAGTTTAGCTTTTCTCTACTTGAGATCTTCTTTTATCGCTTCTTTGCATTGCTTCACAAGTTGGAGGTCAGTTGGTCATTGCCCACGGCTCGTCCTCGTCCATGTTGGCGTATCAGCTTCAGAGCCTCCGATGGCACGTCCTTGTCCATGCTCGAGTATCAGCTTCAGAGTCAGAGTCAGAGTCAGAGTCGATGACATACGGTTTCTCGTACCTATTTCGCTCTCAGCTTCCTAGACACATGTCGTGACATGACATATGCTGGATGAAGTTTTCGTCTTCCTCGTCGATGTTGTCAATCACGGAATTTCGCCGTAAGTCAGATTTCGAAGAAAACAGATCCCAGTTGATGATAGTCGTAAGACGATATTTCCTGAACTTGACGGCTCTCTCCATTCTGAAACTAGAACCTGTCCACAAAGGAGACGATAGCCCGATCTCGTGTATTTTGAAAGAACAGCGACGCCAGTTAGATACCTTTTGTTGAAGATGATGTGGTCAATCTAATCTCTGTGGTCAATCTGTGGTAAGTAGTCTTCATTGAGTGACCCCTAGGTCATCGTCGAGAAAGGGGTTCTTCCTGGAACTGTAAGGTAAGTAGTCTCCACCGAATGACTCCTAAGTTAGGGTCTAGAAGGGGGTTTTTCTGGAACTATGAGTTTCCATGGGTGATCCTCGCCGTCATGATGAGCTTGAGATGCTCTCCCCTTGCTTATCCCACTGTAATCCATGGGTTCCTATACTTTGTAGACTATCTTCTTGCTCTGATCTTCGCATTGAAGTCACCAGCGATGATTTTGTAGAAGGTGTGCTCCTTTTAGAACTCTCCAAGTCCTTGTAGAAAGCCTCAACCTCGTCTTCATGGTCGCTTGTTGTTGGAGCGTACGTAATGAGGACTGCCAGGTCTGGAATCGAGTCACATGCTGATATTTGCTAACGCTTTTCGATTTTGAGTTGCTCGAGTGAATCGTTGCTCACAGCCAAACTCGTATTGGCAAGGACTCCTACAACGTCTCCTATGCTGTCGCTTCATTCTAAGAACAGTTTTTCTTTAGTGTCAAACGTGAAGTTCGGCTGAAGGCGTCTCCTTTTCTCAATCAGTCAAATGACATCGTACCTGATCTTCCTTGCTTTCATTATGTGATCATCGATGGAAGAGTTTGATGGAAGCCAACGTGCACTGTACCAGATCGTCGTCACTGTCAGTCTCGTTTTCGGCAAATCTTCGAACCGTGTCCTCCCAAGAGCGCTGCCATAAAGTGGCTCTTCTTAGATCGAGGGAGCTTTCCATAATGTCACTGTGTTACATGTGTATGTGTATGTGCATGTGTACATGTGTTTCACCCTAGTTCTCACCCGCACTGCGCGTCGTACGCAGACTACACGACGTATACGACGGCACAAGACGTACGCAAACGGGCAAAAGGACATGGGGCGTACGCTGCGCCGCTTACCCCGCATCTGGCTCACCCCAGACACGTCAAACCATGCCTTCGATAGCCAAGAGACAGAAGCTAGGAAGTGATAGTTGTTTGAGCTCCTGCCCTTATAAAAAGTGAAGGTTGTTTCAGAAAAATAGATGAAGATTTAGAGATATGAATTAAACCAAGAAACTCGAAAAATTCATATAAAGCAGAGGTTAGCACATCACCAAATTTGAAACCTTAACTTGGTGGTTTCCTACGCACAGTTTCGTCTTCAGGATTGCCGCTAAATTGGGTGGCAACAAGAACAAAGTTCTTTTTCAATTAAAAAAAGCGCTGTTCAGCTGTGGCGGTAGTTGGGAGACTTGGGAGGCCGAAAAAAGGAAAATTGTCAACAACTGAACTGAACATGTTAAACATGTCTGAAAAGTCATGTTGCACATCGACGCCAATCTGATTTTTGGTGCGTCCTTTGAATTTTTACCCCCGCATAGTCGCTTCGTATCCTGCGACGTTGTCTGGATTCTTCCGCCCGTCATTCTGAGCAAGCATCTTCCAAGCTGGAAAAAATTCGTTGCAAAAGCACTGAAAGAGAACAAGGTAAAGAAAAACGCACTTTTTAGTAATTTTCACAAAAAAAAGACCGGCATAAGCAAAGAAGTAAGCTCGGCGATGTTGTCTACATCACAGACAGAAACAAGACCTATCGAATATGCAAAAAAAAAACCGAGTGAAAATAGTTAAAGTGAAGAAAGAACAAGAGGTTTTCGAAAACGCTGTTTTGCCCAGATTTCTCGTTTAAATCACGAAAGGGAGTCTTGCGACGTTGTCAGCGTAAAAATATAGATTAAGAGCTCTGATATGATATATAGATGGTGGAAATTGGGCTCCGAGCAACGGGGAAAAGGGTACCAGAGCCAAATGCCCCGCGCCCCGCATTTGAGGTAGCGAGGTAGCGCGCAACGCGGGGAGACGCAGACGAGCAGCGGAGACAGACCAGAGCTGGCGGGGCATTTGGCTTGGTCATTCATCTCCGCGGGGTCATAATGAAACCCTACAACACCATATATCGTTGTGATCCTCATGAGACGGCCAGGAGCATTGACAATGTCGCGCGTCCCGAAAATCACTCCATAACGAGATAGATCAGCATTTATGTGGCAACTCTCTGCGCAAGATTTGAGCGCAGTTTCTCGTTTTTATTGAACTCCAGCGGCTTTCATGGACTTTCAACGCTCAATCGCAGTTTAGATAAAGGTTAATTGAGAAATTTTGTCCTAGTTTTCAATTGAATTTTTGAATAAAAACCTTTTTTTCAGCAGAAAAGGCTAAAAAACGTAATCCTTCGATCTTTTGAGCTTCTTACGAAGGTCACTGCTATATTTGCCTCATTCACATTCATCCGTATATGGTCATGTCATTAGTTATGTCATGGTATCCGGGGCTTCGCCCCGGATGACTTCTGTACTTCTCTCCAGGTGATAGTTGTGTTCTATCATGACGCTCATAGTGAAGGTTACCAGAGTACATGACTCTATGTATCGAATGTATGCGTCAAACGAATTCGCAACCAAAGACCCTACATTGTGCTATATATTGCTGAAGAGAATAGTGTAGCATAAGGTGCCCTTTCCGAAAACGTAAAGCGGCTGAGCGGCTCGCCTAAAAATTCGAAAAAGATGCCCTTTCTACGCGTGAAATTAAGGTCCCCGCAAGAGGTAGCTTGTTGGACTCAAAACTCCTTGATAATCGGTCGAAATTTACTTGTTGGAGACGACTCAGAGCCCGCCTTTCTCGCGCCTACCCGAAAAAAAGGTATGCAAGCATTTGATAGGGTTAGGGAGTCCTTATCCGGCTCTGCTTATTTATGAGCAAAGTCGCTCCTGATAGGCGGTTAGTCCCCACCCCCAGCAATCTGGCGCTCCACGTAGCCTCGCGACTAATCGGCTGTAATTCACGTTCGAGAGCATAATAACTCTTCCAAGGCAATGCTCAAAATGTCCCATATTTCGATAGTCAGGTCATCAATACAAGCAGATCCGAAATTTAGCATTGGGACAGCTATTAGCGTCGCTAATCAGTTTTCATGCTCAAAGTAGAAGTTCCCGCGCTTTCAAAAGAACCATTGCTTGCCGAGATATCTGCTTCATTATCTATCCGAATGCGAGGTGGATGTTTGCTTCGATCTTCTGAACCACCAGTTCCCAGTTATAAGGTTCACGCGGAAAAGCTCAGAAGAATCTGGCTACCGCTTTTTAATCTACGATCGTGGCTGTTCGATGGGAGAAAATTAAATTGTACCTCAAAATCAGTTATAAAAACGTTTTAGTACATCACCTGTCCGTTCATCTCCGAAAGTTCAAAAAGGTGGTTGCAAGTAGCATCTATCGAACACTTGTTAGAGTTTCTTCGGATACCCAAGAACATAATCGTATATGAATTTGGCTTACCAAATGGCTAAATCTAATGGAAAAGCTGGTGCAGAGCTTACTTCAGTTCTACGATAGGACCCAATACCAGCTTCTTGCCTTCTAAAATTGCCTTTTTGCCTTCGCAAATAACAATGCGTTCTTTTCGCGGTTTGCAGATATTTGTCAAGATCGTAAATACACCACTCTCAAAAAAGTGCAGTAGTTCGAAACCTTCTGTCAAAGGGAGTGATTGCATAGTCGCTGGGGTTACCCATCTCATTACATCTCTGAAGCGGTAACACCTATATCGAATTTACAATCGCCCCTTCGCAGCCTCGCGTAAGAATTGGATGGTTGCAAGCCAAAACCAGCTATTCTGTTGAGAGTAATTACTTTTTATGCATTGAAGATGCTGAGACTTTTGGAGCGTCTATGGTAGCGTACGAGCCCGCCCTACTAACGTGCACAATTCTGGAAGTGTTTTAGATTTAAAGCCGGAAGGAAGAGAGCATTGTAATGACTAACAAACACGAGTCACATCAGTCCCTCTGCGGGCTTTATACGAGGTCAGTCACCTGAGAGCTATAGGCGTTTCCCATGCGTATAGCGGGCGTGGCCGTGCAGACATTTGAACACGTTGAAAAACTTGTTGAACCTCCACTCTAAAGCATTAGTTTTCATACTCTCTAGCTGCCAAAAACTGCCATGCGCATATGACAAACGTCGGAGAGCTCCGCCCGCTATACTGTGGGGAAAGGACGATATAAATAGGGAAGCGAGTATGTTTGTGATTGTGAGTTTATGTAGTGTAACACCTCATTTTACGACATCTAGGGTGGGTATTAATTACCCGGGGATTTTCTTTGTTGTACTATCTCCAAACTGTTTTGTCTTGAGTTGCGGGCTTGACGTCCATGAGTGTGATTCACTCATGTTTTCTAATTTGTCAGCGATCCCGCCGAAACGTTGGCTCTGAATAAACTGTCGTTGCTATTCCTGCCTACTGCTCAATCAATCTACGCTGTTACAAACGTATTTTTTCCCGAAATTCTACAAATTCATCAGAAATAAGGAAACAGGTTTAACCATTTGAAGAAATAAACAAGATGACAAAATGATTGTCAATAGAACGCGCCAACAATGAACTGTCACTAAAAATCATCGGGCAATACTTCTGCAATAGTAGAAGTTGGAGTTCAGATTGTTTTGCCTCGAAAGACAACACCAACAACACCATTGATCCACCGTGTCCGCAAGGCTATGTCAGTTTCGCCAGGAATGGGACTGCGCGATGTCACAATGTGCTAATTTCTTCGTGTGTAAATTCGTTTGTTTATGTGCACCTTTCCAGCTCATTATCGGAACACAATCATACGAGAAGGCTGAGCAGATTTGCAGATCGCGTGGTGGGGAGTTCTCGACGATAACCGAAGAGGATGAACTGATACTATTGAGAGGTGCATACTTTTCCTCTTGTATGAACCCCTAGAAAATTTTGTGAATTAAGATGAAGCTAAGAACCGAGGACTTAATGGCAACGTAATGCTCAAAAAAGAGGATGGGTTGATCTTGAATGGAATTTTACCAAAAAAGTCTGCAAAAAATGTCCTCTTTAGGAGAAATGACACTTGTATCTTCTTTGAAATTGAGGATGACGATAATGCGATTGTGGAAACCGATTGCGATAGTGAGGTATTCATTTACTGATAAGTACAAATCTAAACAAATTGACCTAGTGCAGGAAGTGCAGAACATAAGCACTTTTGCGTGCATGGTACTTGAATGTGTTGTAACGGAAGATGGACGAGCTTGCAAAATGGTAGAATGTCAAACTGGAGAAGTTTCCTATTATCGAAAAAGCGGAAGATTGACTTGTCACAAGGTATTATATTAGGTTGTCCTAAAAGTTCTTGCGCCGGATTTTCAAAAAATCATAACTTCCTTTCTTTTCTACGATTTTTCTCAAAATTATTTTTGTATGAAAGAGGAAACCTTTTTCGTTATAGAGGTGCCTTTGCCATGAATTAGCGTTCGCAAGTTCGAGAGTCAAAAGCAATTGAATGAAATTAGTCAAGATCGACATTTTTCAAGCTGGATCACGAAAAATTCTGGAAGTAATTTTATTCGATAGAGAAAATTTTGCACATTACAGTGATACCTTTTTCATGAATTAAAACGAAGTAGATCGGGAGTCAGAAGCAAATAAAGAGAATTTCTTCATTTTTGCAATTTTTGAGCATGCTCAAAAATGCATGAAAACGTCACAGAAAAGGCGAAAAAGTCATAAACATGGGTTTTGTGACCTTTTCTTTCTAGCTGAGCCAAAATCGTGCCAATCGGGAGCAATTTTCATTTTCGTGATTTATTCGGATTTTCGGGTCTGCGTTTTTCACGAAAATGAAAATTGCTCCCGATTGGCACGATTTTCACTCAGCTAGAAAGGGAAGGTCACAAAACCCATGTCTATGAGTTTTTCGCCTTTTCTGTGACGTTTTCAAGCATTTTTGAGCATGCTCAATAATTGCAAAAATGCAGAAATTCTCTTTATTTGCTTCTGACTCTCGATCTACTTCGAAAAAAGGTACCATTGTAATGTGCAAAATTTTCTCTATCGAATAAAATTACTTCCAGAATTTTTCGTGATCCAGCTTGAAAAATGTCGATCTTGACTAATTTCATTCAATTGCTTTTAACTCTCGAACTTGCGAACGCTAATTCATGGCAAAGGCACCTCTATAAAGAAAAAGGTTTCCTCTTTCATACAAAAATTATTTTGAGAGAAACCGTTAAGAAGAAAGGAAGTCATGAATTTTTGAAAATCCGGCGCAAGAACTTTTAGGACAACCTAATATATGTAAAGAAAGGATATTTAATCAGAGCGACATTTTTGAAAAAATGGTGACGAGGTCCGCATACAGAGACTTCAAGCATTTCTTTATGCTGGGCATACCAAGTTGTATCTATTACTGTACTCCGAGCAAAAGCTGTTGATTGAAGCACTCACAACTTTTTTCTTCTCAATGAGTCTGAATGCTCGTTTAATCCATACCAGTGCGTCACCTCTGCTTCGCAGAGGTTCGCACTGGCTCTACTATCTATGTGCCTTACTCATTCTCGTAAAATTGTGGCACTGGAACTTACCGCGCTATGCCAGCTACCACGAATAAAATGTGAACAACCACTCATTTAGAAAGTCTTTTCACGTGAGATCGTTGATTTCGCGTGGATGAAACTTTTCGCAGGAAGACAAACGCAAATTCGAATAGATTTTTGGATTTGTCATGGCTTGGTAGTCGCCATAAAGGTAATAGTAACCGTGAGGTACATCTCTTTGCGAAAACCTTCAAACGCTAAGCTAGAACCTTGCCAAATTGACCATTTACACAACCAATTCGTTTTGGCGCCGTTTCCGTTATGTAGTAAACTTTCGACCACTTTTCTGGCTAAACTCCATCGCTTGCACATTTGCTTACCAAACTCATCCACGACTCTGCAAAAAATGGTGATACGGACCGAATTTTGCGGTACAGAAGCCAGGTGGACCCGTTTGGCGCGCAATTTCTGAGGGATCCACTCAACGAATCTACTCGTGCTTTTGCATGTTGGACTTTCATGAAGGTAGCATGCGCTATACAAAATTTGGGCTTAGAACGCTGGCTGGAACACGCTCCACGAATTTCGTAACAGACACACACACACAAAGTCACGTAAATATCCTTAGCCCGTTATTATAAGTCATGATGTTTATGGTAGCTACGTCAAACAAATCTATGTTTTGATTATTGACAACTTTTAAGTAAGGATATGGATTTTTCTATGAAGAGGAGGCGCTTTGTGAAGCAAATAGTGCTCGCTATGCTTGGCAGCAGTAGGTGTCAATCACTATTGTTGTCCTTGTACCTGACCTTACTTTCTTAGACAGCAGTATGTTGATTCCAGTTAAACGAGGATTTATAATCCTACGCTAACGGCTTCCGTCTTTAGGACCTGTACAACACAAGGTAAATCGTGCGGCTTCATAGCATTCTTTGAGTCGTTATGTCAAATCTAAAAATATCAAGTCAAGTCTAGCTATACAGCTGTGACAGTGGAATGCGAAAATTCTCGGCGAATTCGGTGATGTCGGCGAATTCGCCAAAGTCGGCAAACGCGAAATCGCCGACATCGCTGACATCGCCGAGAATTTTCACATTCCAAAGTCATAACTGTATAATCATGACTCCATTGATCTGTCAGCTACATCTTACATACATGCCTTCCATAGTCTGAAGATAGGGCGTCAAAAAGAAGGTTATTTGAGTATCCCCCAGAAAATGAAAGTTGTTTATAGAAAATCAAAAAAGAGAAGAAGATGCAAAACAATTGGCAAAAGCAGAAGAAGCTCTTGAAAACCTAATAAAACGCCGCTATTAGTTTGAAATTTTTCGGTTGGAAGCATTTCGATTGGAGGTTTTCGCTCCAGAATCAGGCAATTCACGGGAGAGAAGAGAACGAGGAAAAGCTAGTTTCTTCTTTCTGATTGTTTTAAAAACAAACATATTTTGGAAGTAAACAAGAAGAAAATGAATGAAAAACATCCAGTTATGAAAGCGCCAAGTTTTGTTTTTTCCTAAGTCAAAGACAACCTATATTGATTTTTGCTGTAGCTAAGCCAAGATGGTATGATCTTTTTATTGATGGCTGACGTTTCGGCGTCCTCGCCTTCGTCGGATCCTGGAAATCAAAGACCATTTGGTGACACACCCCCTCAGACGCCGCATCTGACCACAGCGATCAATTCAAGAGATCAAATGAGATCAAAAGCAGTATGTGAGGAAGTACAAAGCAAACGCTCACCGTAATACAGCGGTTTTTGGAGCCAAGACCACCCGTATGAGAGGAAGTGATTGGCCACTGCGAATATTGCGCATATTTAAGGCCCGAGGGCCCGCCAACGCAGCCCGCCAACGCAACCTTACTGAGTTAGATCAAAATTACATAAGGTCTGGTAGGATGCGAGCTCTTGTGTCACGGTTATGCACTCTTCTTTCCTGTTTGATTTTGGGCTTTTTGCAATTATCCAGAACGCTTCGAGAATTTTGCGAGCTACAGTTAAAGACAACCTAGTTTTTGATGCGCCCCTTAAAATTTTAGCCCCTTCTTGTAGTTTCTGTTTCTGACGACGTTGTTAGCTTTGTTGTGCTCATATTCCTGAGCAAAATGGCCTTAAGCATGTGAGAAATGGTTGCTTACTAACTTCAGTAAAGGCCTGTAAACAAAAACGCACTCTTCGCAGCATTGTGCTAGATGTTTCACAACAATCAAAGAAGTTACCCCGCGAAGTTGCTCACATATAAACGGAAGCAAGATCTATGGAGGAAAAAAAACAAGGGATCTCCGAAAACACGTTTTCTGCCAGATTTCTCGTTCAAATCAAATAACAGAGTTCTGCGACGTTGTTACCGTGAAAGTAGGGATCAAACTTCAATATGGTATACAGTTTGCTAGAACCAAAAACAAAGAAAAGGGTACCAGAGCTTCGGTTTTTGAAAAAACCCCCGCGTCCCATACTAGTGAGTTCAGGGCCGGTAGTAATCTGTCGGAACTCCGAATTTAAAGCGTTAACTTAGAGTTTCGTTTTGAAACTCAGAGTTGACTCCGAGTTTCGTTTCTTAAACTCGGAATTTCGCACTGCTACTTGAGGAGCCGCTATAGTTGTTGAAGAGCCCCCACATGCTTTATCGCAAAACACCACGACTAAGTTAGGACCCGAACTTCCGTTGCTCGACGCGAAGTGCCCACTACTAGACCACTGGGCTAAGGAGCCATTCTTGTGAAGTCGCTGCTATGACATAATGAATCCCCATAATCAAGATCTCACATGAGAAGACACGTAGAGGCGTTAGGCTTGCCTGTGCGGTGCCAAGCCATGAACTATTCTAAAGATTCTTAGAGAAGTAGCAGGATGGAACATGGACATAGCCAGTAATCCAAAAAAACCCGTTCCCTTCCCCCCCCCCCTCCCCATATTTTGATACGCTATTATACCTATTACCTATTATTGCTATTATACTTCATAAATCCTAAAGTCTGTTAGTGTCTAAAATTCTTCGAATGGCCTATATCTATAATTTTTAATCTTGAAATTGATCATTGTTTTAGAAAAATAGACTTCAAATAGTAAACAAAGTCTACAGGTCATTCATAAATCGAATGTTAGGATTTCAAAACATCTCTGAATAATATAACAAATTTTGGAAAAATTTTTTGAGGTTTCTAACAAAGTAAAAGAAAATTATTGAAAACACTCCCTGGTATCATTACTTTCTTGCTAAGAAAATTCAACTCAATCTGAGATTTTCGCCATTTCTCGGTGTATGCCCACTGTAATAGTCTTCATTGAAAACGGACAGCATATTCATGATTGCCTGCCAAATATCAATGGCGAATTTAGGCAGCTCAGTGAGTTTAGTCCACCACATCTATTGCAACCCCATCGCATAGTTCTGCAGTGGAAAAAAACAGCAAGTAACAGTATCTAACAGTGGCACTGAAGGTGAGGCCCGAAAATGGGTCGCGAAATTTTTGAAATTTACTTACTGGGTTATAAAAATGTGCAAATGACTTGTTCGTTCTTGTTAATAATAGAGTTATTTTTTTCAAATTTTTAAAAATTCAAATTAGCCTTGCAAAATTTTCGGGGGGGGGGGGGGAGGGTGGCTGCTGGCATGCCCTTTTTTCCTAGAATCCAGGGGTATAAGCCAACAAAAGTTAAAGAAGCTCTCCAAAATACTTGTTGGAGTGCGCCACGCACCTTCACTTGAAAAAATTTTTTTGTCCCCCCCCCCCGGACGGAAATTGTGCGACCTGCACTAGTAGCTAAGTAATTATCGTCGAGTCATT